CGCGCCCCCCGCCCCCCAGAGCCACGCCCCTGGAGAGGATGAGGGCGGCTCCCTGTGGCCCGGACAGGGTGACCAGGTCTCGGTGTTCCCACACACCGCATTTGTTTTGATCTCGCTGCCTTTCCGCTGTTCCCGCGGCTCTGACACCGGTCCCAGGAGCCCGCACCCATTGGCTCCCGCCGACGTCCCTGACCATCCCTTCTCCCCTCTCCCTCGGCCTCCGTGTGCGCACGGGGCCTGGGATAGGAAGTGAGGTACTCCCTGAATGATCACAGCTAACAGGGAAGTCCCTAGCTTGGCTCAGGGACCCCAAGCCCCAAACCAAATAGCAAAGAGGTATCGGGCTCTGTCAGATCTATTTTGAGAGTGATCAAGTATAAATTAGGAAAATATGAGAACATTCATTGCATTCCTACTAGGGGTAAGATTGGTGTCCTGCGGCCACCATGCACTAGAGCAGCGATTTTTCAACCGGTGCGCCGCAAGAATTTTTAAAACATGCAATCCCTCACTATTTAGTCAGGAGCACTGACCTCTTTCCCCTTAGATTGTCAAATTTAAAAAATGACAATGGCCCTCTGGTGTGACTGCCCTGGATTGAACCATAAATATATAGGTCATATAATAGAGTTGCATCTTATTGGTCACGCATAATAAGGTTGCATCTGATTGGTTAATTTTTGGTACCAGAAATCCTTATGTATAAATATGGGCCACCTGACTTTTTAAAAAATCACTTTGGAGCAAAAAGGGTAGATAATTACTATTTTTTTTAAATTTTGAAATCAATCAAAATTATACCTATTTTTTTTACCTGATTGGCAAAAATGTATGTTTTGATGTGCCACATGAGATGAAAATCGCTGCACTAGTGTTTTCCAAGCGCATCATTCAACTCAAAAGTTGAGAAGGGCGGGAATGGAGAAAAGATGAAACAATTTTTTAAAATGTCAACAGTCATCAATGCCATTAAGTTTATCTTTTCTCAATTCAGTTAATGGGCTACCCTGGTTGTGGTGAACCATCAGGAAACAATATCACAGACCAACAGCGGAAGGAGGGCTGTTTGGGCTGCGGGAAGCTGAGGGGAGAGGCTGCTGGCTGGCTCCCAGTGTCTGGGGGCTGCACTGGCACAAGGGGGGCCGTTAGGTGCACACTTGGAGGCGGATGCAAGGTTTCCAAGGAAGAGCTTTTAAAGGATCACAGGGGCTCCGAGTCTGCAGGTGTGGGGGAGGCACCTTTGTAAAGGCACGTATTGCACTGAGCAGGGAGCTGAAGGAGATCCCCTCTTAGGCCCCCCCAGACTCAGTGATTCCCCTGGAAAGCTGGGAGGGACAGTAGCCCCATTAGGAGAACACAGCTGCGACAGGAGGGCTGGTGGCAGTGCATGTGCCCTCCTGTGAAGCTTAGACACCCTGATCACCGTCCCTTCCCTCCCCCGGGGACAAGAGCTGCGCCCCTTTCCCTTGTCGCCAGTTTTGCTCCCCACCTGTCACGGTCCTCGCGGCCAAGAGGGGCCATGTCTCTCCCATGTTCTTCTTTATTCTCCAATGATGGTGGCGCTGAAGATCTTCCAGCTGCAGGAATCCTGGTCATCCCCCCTTCTCACCAGCAGCGAGCTTCTCTTATTCTCTAGGGCTCTAACCTGGACTCCAAGATAAATATTTAATGTAGAGGGTGCAACTGAGCTGACCAAGGTCCCCACTTCCTGCTTCTCACAAGGCTATCGGCGTCATCTCTATGGGAATAGAGAGCCAGCACACAGCGTTGCAGGAAGCCGCGCAGGCTGTGCTGGAGCCCGGAGCTTTTCTCTGGGACGGTTTGACCTCTGCCTGTCTCCTGTCACCCAGCCTCTGCCGGGCTCACACCGCTCTCAGCTCGGAGCCTGCTTTGCTCTGGCGCCCATGGAAGTACCCTTCTTCTCAGACTCTTAGACTATGTGCTCGGCCCAAGGAGGGCTTTGCGAGGCCCCCCACCCTGCTCCCTGATGCCCACCAGCCACAGAAGAGAGGATCAGAGATCAGTGGGAACAGAAAGCATAAGGCACCATGACCAGCACTTTTTCTGCCCGTATTTAGAGACAAGAATCGTTCCTCTTTGAAAAGTGGGAGATGAAAGGGAAAAAGCAGCAAAGTCCAGAGATTCAGCCCAGAACCAGGTGTCTGATTTCTCGACTCCTCCCTCCAGCCTCGGCTCTACTTGCTGCTGCCCCAACCCGCAGACAGCTGGCGTGGCTTAGTGAGAGGCTGGGGCTACAAGGCTGTGCTAGGTAACACGGCTGTTGTCAGCAACAAAACAGATTCAGATTCCTTTCATCCTAATGCATTATCTCCGGACTCCCTTATCATCTCACAGGCCCTCCCTCCGGGCGACTCTTCCCCCTGACCCCCCTCACCCCACCCCCTGGCACTACCTCTTGTCAGGGGGCCACCTCTGCCTTCTCAGAGCCACCTGAGCCATAGTAAACACAGTTATGTAACTGCTCTGTTTTCCTAGCCATCTGATCCTGTCAGCCATATGCCCCACCCCCATCCTTTTGTTCTGAGGATTACCCCCAAGACACCCGGTCAACAGAGGTCTGTCCATGTCCGTCACCCTGAGCGGTGATCAGCCAAGAGACTACCAATAGATGTGGCTCTTCCCAAGTGGGGCGGGGGAAGAGGGTGGCTGTACAGCTGTACAGGAATGTGGGTCACTGTGAAAACCAACCTCTGTCACCAAGAGGAAGGGTGAATGGAAATAGCACTGAAGTCGTGTTTTATTGTGAGTAGGGTGAGCCGAGAATTCAGTTTTATTTCTCAAGTGGGAAAAAGGAAGCAAGGGATCCCAGGAGACATAAACCTGAACTCTCATTTCTTGAGGAGTGTGTTTATCTAGCACAGGGATCCTGGCGTTCGAATGGCACGCTCAGATCTACCCCGAGCTGGCACCCGGCACTGTGCCCCAGCCCCCACATTGGACAACGGAGGGGTGCTGCTCTCCCTTTGCCTCCACAGGGATGGGCTCCGACACCCTCTTCAGTTAGGCTTTAAGCGGGTTTTTATTTGTACTGTCAGAGGAGTGCTCTCTTCCTGCCAGGAGAACTGAACAAACAGACCAGAATGGATTAGCGAAGAAAGCACGGTTCCTTTCAAGGAGTTGGGACCTCTCTAGGGAGGAAGACCACGTAGCGAGGAACTGAAACCAAGTCGCTCAGGCACAACAGTACAAATCCTGACGATGCATCCTCTGGGCTCCACCCCTTTCTCCTGGGTCCCCTCCTGATTCCAGCTCCTGCCAATACCAAGTCCTGATGGCCCTCGTCCAAGCCAAAGCTTCCTGGGAACAGAAACAACTGAAGAGGAACACGAGAGACCCACGGTGAGGCTTGGAGGACCTCCCTAAGCTGGCAACAGCATGACCTGGGCCATCTGGAATCCAAGATTTGGGGTATCGTCTCTGTAAGGAAAGGGATCTCTTGAGTGAAAAAATTCCCACTCCAGGTCAGGTGTGGGCAGTGTGGGCAGCCAGGGCAGTGAGTATATCCCCATGGGAATAGAGAATGAGGCTTCCAGGCCTGCCTTGCACAGACCTCCTTTCTATAGCACCCACGATGGAACTGGGATCTATTCAGGCTCCTCAGTGTCAACTGCATGAATCACCAAGGCTGTGAAAGGACTCGGCCTTTTGTCCAGTATCTAGTCTATCTCCAAGGAAGCCTTGCCCTGGCATCACCCGCCGCTCCCTCTCCCCTCCGTTCATAGATGAGCACACGGCGCCAGGCGCAGATGGGGTGCCTTGGAGAACTGCGCTGGAGGAATGAGCCTTTTAGTTCTCACGAAAGTAAGAGCAAGCGGCTGACAGCTCTTCGGAAAGCAGAGTTTAAAAGGCAAGGATAAATAAGTGATGACCTCAGAGGGAAGCCCAGCCAAGTTGACTCAGCCACAAAGGGCACACAGACCAGGAGCTGGGAAACTAGGTCTGCATCAGCTTCTTTCCCAGCGCGGGCACAGATAAGGAGGATAAGAGGGCTGCGTTGCCGGCCAGTGGACATCGTGAGGTAGTGCCCTGGCCTCCGAACAAAGAATCGCCTTGTCTTCCCGCCGCCTTGAGTTCTGCGATGAACCTTCTCCTCAACTGCAGCAACGTTATACAGACGGCCTCAGTTACCATTAAGTTACTAGCCCACTGCCTCAACATTGAAGACTTTTCCTAAAACCCGAAAGTCATGATACAAAAACAAGGCCATACAATTACACAGAGCAGGCCAGGAAGTGGGACTGAATGTCCAGGGAGAGGTAACCGTGAACTTGCATGCTAGTTCCTCATTTCCAGGCTTAAAAAAATTCTCATAACGCTGGAAATAAGGGTAACTATGGCCTCATTTCATTGAATGTTTAGCTGGGATATAAGGACATTGCTAAGCCAGGATGCCATTTATTGGGAAAGATCCCAAAATGCATACTTGGCTTCTTCAAAATTAGAAATCTGGGCTCGTTTCCTGGCCTATAAATTGTACTGTGGCCCCTGATGTCACTGTACTTACAGTGAACTTGCCTCACTCAGGCCTGCAGGCCCTGGGTTCAGACTTCCTACCTTCACTGCTTAAGCGATAGAATTCCCTCCTGGACACGCTGTCTGCTCCAAGGGCCCTGCGCACTTTTTCTATCCCTGCCCCGTTGTTGCTCAGTGGAGGTTACTTTTCCTTGTGAATCTGCGCATTTGTACTTGTCAGAGGAATCAAGAGGCTGGCCCAACACTGCCTTTCCTGAGCAGTCCAACTCACCTCCACATTCAACTCTCCTCTGGCTCCCGCAACTTCTCCTAAGATAGAATTCATCCATGTCTATTACTAGGACCACATGCAGAGTTCTTAAACCACCATCATAATTACATCTTTTGCAAGGATTTGGTTTTCTGGGACGTTTTCCTTCTGTGTCTTTAAGGAGCAGCCTGTCCTGGAGAAGCCGCACGAAGAGCTGGGGCTTGAATGTGTTAGTAGCGGGCAGAGTGCCAGGAAGGAGGTTGGGCAAGGGAGTGGGTGCTGAGTGGGAGGAGTAGAGACGCCACTGCAGCCACCGAGCTGGTCTAAAATGAGCGGGTGCAAGCGGCAGAGGAGGCGTCTTTCTTTGTGAGGGGTTCCTTTCCTCGAGGGCGGGATTGCTTGGCATTTCCAGAGACAGGCCAGACGTCAAAGTCAGGCTTTCTCCTCTTGTGGAAGCACCGAATGGTAAGGCCAAGTATAAGTGCCCCCACCAGGAAATACACACAGGGAGCCAACATTTAATTTTAAGAGTGTTTTCTTTCTTTTTTTTTTTTAAAGATGACTTCCAATTTACAGTAAGAAAGTTTTAACAAATTTTCTTGTTCACAAAACAGTTAATAAATGATTTCTGCCAATAAATAACATTTCCACCATTTTCTTTAACATAACTGAAAAGCAAGTAATCTCTAAACACAAGGAAATAACCCATCATCCAGAGAAGCCTTTAAAAAAAGTACACCACCAGTTAACCGCATGCATCTGACCACCTCATTAGGAAGGAATACCAGATCTTTTCTTGGAAAATACCTGCTGACATTTCTATTAGGAAAAACAGCTATTGGTCACAGTGCACCGAGAAAGGAAAAGTGAGGGTTCATGGCGGCATCTTCCAAAAGGTGCTCTGACAGACAAAGACGCATCTTTATTGCCCCAAGTCAAGATCCATGGTAGGCCTCCTCCCTATGACATGCACTGCACTTTAACGTGGAAAAAAAAGTTATTTGGAAACAGTCAAGGGAGGAAAAGGAGTCTGGGCATGAACTTACAGGAGGGCAGTGTGCATGGCCCCACTTCAGAGCTGCCTGGAGGGACGGTCGACGGCCATGTCCTCACTTCTTGATCTTAAGTCATGTAGACTTGTCATGAGGATGTAGAAGAGAAGGTGCACAACCCTATCTCAGACAAAGGTGTTATTTAGCAAGGTTGCTGGGGCGTGAGGCCAAGGCCTCCTGGGAGGGAATATACTCTCCAGGATCATCTTCACCTTTGTGACTGCATAGATGAAGGCAGCAAACCCTGACCCCATTCACTTCAGCTGACTAGACAGAGCCTGGCAGGTCAGGTCCAGTCTCAGAATAACACAGGCTCCCTCTTTCACACTGTCACACCGTCGAAGGCACAAAGCCCTATTGTTCATACAGGTCTCTGCTCGACTCAAGAGTAACAACCTGTTTCTTGACCACACAACGTTCTTCCTCTACACCAGTGGTTCTCAACCTTCTGGCCGTTTTAATACAGTTCCTCATGGTGTGACCCAACCATAAAATTATTTTCGTTGCTATTTCATAACTGTAATGTTGCTAGTGTTATGAATCGTAATGTAAATATCTGATATTCAGGATGGTCTTAGGCGACCCCTGTGAAAGGGCCGTTCGACCGCCAAAGGGGTCGCAAACCCACAGGTTGAGAACCGCTGCTCTACACACATCTGCTCTTTGTGTGGCTTTCCTCAAGCACCTGATCACAGCAGTGAAGAGGGACCTGTCCTCTGGGTAATCCAGACCCTCCCCCAGCTAGTGTTGAGGCCCCTAGGCTGCCCTCCACTCCCTCTTACAGCAGATTGCAGAAAGGATGCGGACCAAGTGCTAGACAAGGTGGTATCCATGGTTCTAACCACAAATAATTTAGGAAACGGCAGCCTC